CCTAGCATAATGGGGCCCTTTTCTGACCTATGTGCTACTGTAATAATAATAGTAATATGGAGCTGTGCCAGAAACTGAATCACTTCACGAGCTCCCAGCATTGGTGAAGGGGTTGCAATTTATTACAGAAGCTAGAGAACAATGTCAGATGTTACATCTTCTGGTGCAGCACATTGGACAGGTGAGGGGATGCAATTTCTGACACACTTCTGTATCATCCAGCAGATATATCTTCTGACATCAGTCCTCTTTTTTGTCCCACATGGAGCAATTTTTGACAATCAGGAAATGCTACCTTCTTCCGAATGGAGAGAGAATATTGTCTCAAGCATAGGCGCTGACTCAGTGAGCACCCACGGGGAAAAATTAGTGGGTGCTCTGCTCCCACTGGCAGCCAAGCTCCCCTCACCCCCCCGTCCCACCTCCTCCTCCTCCTCCCCTTGAGTGCACTGCGTCCCCGCTCCTCCGCCTACCTCACAGTGCTTCCCCCCGGCCGCCACCAAACAGCTGTTTGGTGGCGTGCTGGGGGGAGGAAGGGAGGGAGCGGGGAGGAGCAGGAACATGGCGCGCTCAGCAGAGGAGGCAGGGCTGGGACAGGGAAGGGGTTGGAGTGGGGGCGGGGCAGGGGTGGGAAGAGGTGGGGCAGAGGTGGGGCAGCATGGAAGGGGTGGAGTGGGGGTGTGGCTGGGGGCAGAGGTGGGGTCGAGCACCCAGGGGAAAGCAGGGAAGTCAGCGCCTATGGTCTCAACTGTTTAGCTTTAAAGTCATAATAATTTAATGTTAGATTTTACATCTTATTTAGAAAATCTAAATCAGCGGTTCTCAAACTGTGGGTCAGGACCCCAAAGTGGGCTTTGCTCCCCCCTCCTGGGGTTGTGTAATAATGTTTGTTGTCAGAAGTGGGTGGCGGTGCAATGAAGTTTGAGAACCCCAGATCTAAATGATTCTAAGCATGTTCCAGATAGAAGTAACTTCTGTGAATGAGTCATATAATGGTATAATTTATCAATATTCTGTTTAGAAAGAACATTTAAGTGAAAAGTGAGAAAGGAGAGTCTAGTAGTTAGGCTATTAGCCTGGGACTCTAGAGACTCAGGTTCTATTCCCCGCTACATCACAGATTTCTTCTGTGATCTTATCACTCAGTCTCTCTGTGATTATATACTATCTATAAGATGGGGATAATAGTACTTCATAGGCATAATCTGAGGAATAATATTTTAAAAGATTGTAAGATGCTCAGCTGCTATGGTAATGGGGGTCATATAAGTACCTAAGATAAAAAAGTAATAAGCACCTGGTCTCGCATTTATACTTCTATCCCAACACATTCCTGTTCTATGAGAAACTCTAATTTATACTAAATATAAAAACTCCGAATAAGATCCTGACTTAATGTAAATTGCTATATCTCCACTGTAGTCAGTCTGGTCCTTAGTTTCAAAAGCCACTTAAAGTTGCTAAAGACTTGTCAACAATGTGCACCAATGAGTTGCGAACTTAACTGGCTCATGTAAACCCTACTGGCACCCACAAAAAGTTCTCTGGTGTGTGTTTAGTCCATGCCAGCAGGCTCCATGTGGGCCAATTAGTGCACTTTACATTGGTACACATTAAAATTCATACCACTCTGGTGTGCATTCGCGCACCGTGTAGACAAGTCCTAAATGACAATGGTTTACATTATTTACAATATCAAAGTACTCAATAGAGAAAGGAAATGAAAAAATCTTACATTGTCCATACTAGGCCTGATTCTTCCTAACTTTACATAGTGTGTGGTCATTTTTGCATCCATTTACAGTGAATGCAAAGTGAGTGTAAAATATTAACGTTCTGATCTGGTAATGTTTTACACCCATTTACCACAAGCTGTAAGTGACTACATGAGGCAGAGGGCCGCAGAAAGCCAAGCACCTTATTTTTACTCTGCCCTATTTTATCACTATTTATTATTGTTTGAAATTTTAACTTTGTTATGTAAATTATTTCTTTTAAAGGATACATATATATTTAGATAGTAAATATTATCAGTTAATACATTAGTTGATTGACAGTAGAATTTTTGTAATATGTTTATTATTAGTTTCTTATTAATAATATTATATGTTTGAAGTTTAATAGGAAATGTTTATTAGAGTTTTGATTTAAGGAAGAATTAAGTTTGCATATGGACTTGCATTTAGGTTTATCAGTGTAGTATTGGCAGGTGTATTTTATTTACATATATTTCTTATTCAAAAAGGTTTTTGTGTTGTATTTATATTTTAAGATTATGGATAAAAGAATCGGCTAATGTTTTCAAAAGTGACTAGTAATTTTGCATGCTCCAGATTGGGAAAAGCTAGATAAAGAAAACAGATTTTGTTTTAAAATGTGTTTGCAAATACATTTTAACTAACAGGACTTTGCACCTTGCATACACAGGGCAAATCATTTTTAAAAACATATGACATGACTTGTCCTGTCTATAATATGGGTAAAATTCTGCCCATCTTTAAGTCAATGGGTGTTTTGGCATTTTCTTCTATGGACCTCTATACGCAAAGCCCAGTTCAAAATTGTTTTAGTTAAAATATGTTATGTTGTGTTTTAAAACACATTAGTTATTTGCCTATGCTAAACATGGAAAAAGAGGCCTGATTTTTCAGAAGATGAGTGTTCAGTACCACGTCCCTTTCAGGTGTCTAAGTTGGACACTCAAAAATAATAACACGGTTATACTGGTGAGAGGCAAAGTAGTATCATAAATCAGAAACTGGATAAAAGATAGAAAATATTAGTAAAAAAGGTCAATTTTCATCATGGCTAAAAGTTAACAATCCAGTGCCACAAGATTCCATACGAGGTGCTGTAAGGATATGGAAAACAGGGTGAGCAATGAGGTGGCAAAATGCACAGATGATTCAAAATTATTTAAGTTAATCAAGACTAAAGAAAAATGTCAGGAATTTCAGAGATCTAACTGAGGCAGGTGAATAAACAACACAAGAGTGGATGAAATTCTATTTCTTTTTATTGAGAGAGACAAGGTGGGTGAAGTAATATCTTTTATTGGACCAACTTCTGTTGGTGGAAGGGACAAGCTTTTGAGCTTCACGGTGCAGTTCCTCAGGTCTGAAGAAGGTAACCAGAGTGTCCAAGCTAAATACAAGATAGATCAGATTGTTAAGCATGTTCATATCCTGGGACCCCCATGGCTATAACAATACTGCAAACATTACTTCTTACTTTATATGTTTTTGTTTTGTAAATTATGTGTTAAGTAATCTTGTTATCTAAGTAAACTTTGTCATCTTAAGTGGTTTTGACACCAAGTTTTGTGTTTTGGAATTTTCTCACCTTCCTCTCCTCCCCATCTTTTATTTTTTTATATTGTCAAAGTAAATAAAGATACAGTTTATAATGTCAGATACATCAGATCCATTGGAAACTCTTAAGGGGAAGTATTGTATCTTCCTATGTATTCGTACAATGCCTAGCAAAATTCAGCCTCGAACGTGGTTGGGCCTTTGGGCACTTCAACAATAAAAAATAAATTAACAGTAATAATTAATGATCATTATTAACCACAGTTAAATCAACTGTGTGCAATTAAATAATAATATCTTTCTTCAAATCCTTGCTTAAAACTCTTCTCTGGTGTGATGCCTAAAAAAACACCTCGAAAATAGTCAGGCATCTGGTTTCCCATGAGTACTGCTTTCCACAGTTAGCATTATTTCCTTATGCTCCCTTTGTCTGTTTGTTGTATCCACCTGTAGTCTACAGTCTTACACATTTGATTTATGCATTGCTTAATTTTATGCATTGTGAACAGTCAGTGGGACTATTCACACTGTGTAAAGTTAATCAAGCCTGTGAATCTTTGCAGGATCAAGGCCGTAGATTATAAAACCTTCAGGGCAGGGATTGTCTCTTTGTTACATGTCTGTACAGTGCCTAGCACAAAGGGGCCCTGGCCTCTAGGAGCTAGCGCAATACAAATTTTTAATGTTCATATTAATAACAATATAAAGAAGGGGATCAGTCACCTGTTTATCACATTAAATGAGGGAACATGGCTAGCTAAACTAAAACTAGTCAGCTAACATCCATTTTCTTATAGAACTTTTGAAATTGTTGTGGAAATAAACTGTCAGTGACAATGCACTCTTTACATTCAATAAAACAGCCCAGTATGTGTGTAAAGGGTATGTAGACGGCACTTTTGTGAAAGCAATGTATTGCTCCAATATTTTTTTCTTTGACCACTGAAAGAATTCAGGGACAAAACAGACTATATTCCCCATCCATTTTAATGTTCAATGATGGACAACTGTGTGTAGTAGTTGACAATTTCTTAAAGGTGACCTGCTGATGAAAGAAAAATTGAGTGTACCGAAGGCCTGAAAAGGTGATGTTCAAAACCAAAAAAACCCCTCTTTTATGTTAGTCCCTGTCTTCCCTGTTTCTTTTCCTCTGCCCCCTCTCCAGATGTGCTCCCCAGTACCCTCCCTTTTTTGCTCCTTTCCACTCTTTCACCATGCATTTGCTCACCTGCCCCCTCCTCCTAAATGTTTGCTCTTCCCCAACAACACATTTTTGTTCCACTCCCTGTTGTGGTTTTTGTCCCCTGCGTTTGTCCTCCTCGTTTTTATTGGTCTTTTCGTGATTGCCCCTCTTTTCTCGCTCCCCAGTGTTGTAGCCCGCCTGCTTCCCCTCCTCAATGTTTTTGCTCCTTTTCCCCCCTTTTTTTGTCCTTCCCCGTTTTACTGATCTCGTCACTCTGTTTTTGTTCCTTCACTCTCCCTTCCCTGTTTTGCCTCCCCTTCTGAGTCCCCCCCCCCTTGTTCTTTTCCTCTCCCCTGCCCCCCACACCCGGTTTTGCTCAGGGATCCGATCTCTGATGGCAGGTGAGAGCAGAAGCAAGGGCAGCGGCCTCGCTGTTGTGAATGCGCATGCTCGTATCTCTTGGCGAACAAAATCTGACACTCCATCGGCTCGGGGAACTGGCAGCGCGTGCGCAGGCAGCTCCATCCAGCAAGGGAACCTTGAATTTCTCTGGGATTCCCGATCTGCAGTGCAGAGCAAAGCGGAGGAACGTGTGGAAGCAGCTGCTGGCGCGCTCTATAAGGGGATTTAAGCCGCAGAGAGAGCGGGAGAGGCAGGGACCGATTCACCATTGATCTGAATTAAATACTTCTCTCTCTCGCTCTCTCGAAATCTGCCCTTTTGAGTTTTATTCTTTGCTTCAGGTGACAGCACACAACGCAAACTGTAAGTGTTCCCTTTCTCTTGGATGCTAATTTAGGGTTCATGGTGGGGTTGGAATTTCTTGCACCACTGTATCTTCTGCATGGATGCGGTGAAATGCATGGTTACAATAAACTAAAGTGCTGTCGGCTTTGCTTCATCCCGCTGTTTGCTAGCAATAAAGGATGAGGGGGGCGAACATCTTGTGATGGTGAAAAGAGAAAGTGAACTGTGAAGTGTTTGCTTGCACGATATTTCAGGATTAGGGTTACTTTTTAAAGTCCGCTGCGGGGTTTGGCAATAGGGGGAGGGTGAGTATAACTACATATGATTTTTAAATCTATAAATAGAAACCTTTTCCTACATACACACATCTTTAGATCCAGATGGCGAAGTTCTGTTGCTGATAGAAGTGGGGGATAAAATGAGAGGGTTGTAAAGTGTCAAACTGTCTGACATCCTGTCGGTGCAGATTTCTTCCCCCCGGAAAAGTGGCAGAAGTGTTTGCTAGTGAAAGTGGATGAACTGGATAGGATGGAAATAGAAGGAGGCTTTTGTGCCATATGTTAGTACTTAAAAGCTTAAAGCAATGTGGTTATCTCTGCCTCTTTTTAGCGCTTACAAATCGTAACGAGCAAAGTTGTGTAACATTGCTTTTCCTTTCTTAATACTTTGTGTGCGTTGTTGTTTTTATTGACCAAATGGAGGGAAATTGTGTCCACAGCAATCTGCCTTGACCTGTTTTAAGATGAGAGACTGACTGCTATATTGATTAGGATATAAATACCAACATCAAAAGCAGGCATTGATCGCTCGCTTTATAATTTGCGTTTGGGCATGTTTTGCTGATAGCCGGAAGCCTTTGACATTTCTAATCACTTGAAAAGCAATAGAGAAAAGGTCATTATGTTTTCCAGTGCAAACAGATCATGCGAAAATTAAGAGGAAGATCAGTAGTCCCTGCAAGGTCATCAAACCCATTGTGAAGAGCAAATTGCTAGAGATCCTTGCGATTACTTTCTTGATAGACTTGGTTTGTGTGACAGATGTTTCTTTTAAGTGGTCCACCCTTTTGTGCATCTGCAAGATATCTTCAGGAATAAGCTTTGGAATAAGCGCGCTCATCTCACTCCTCTGATGTGGTAAACTGCACGGTGGATGTGCTGCGCTCCTGTTTACTTGGGAATAGAACGAGGTGAAAATGGAGGTGGGTGGAGATAACAAAAGCTGGTGTGCAATCCAAGTCATTTCCCACAGGAAGGCGTGAGAAGGAGGGAGGGGAGACGAAAGGAGAATTTCATTTCCAGAGATCAAAACAAAGGAGAGGCAAGTTGGGGCAGATCGGCAGAACTCGTGTGGGAATCGGGGCGTTTTTCTCGGTGACCCAACCAGTCAAGAAAGGTTTCATAAAAGCTGCTGTCGCTTGACTGCTCTGTTCTGTGTTATTAAGAAATCTAGCATGTTTTATAGCTAAAGGACTGGGACAGGTCAATCTCGAAGGGAATTTAGGCAGGAGGTCTCGACGCAGGTAGTACATACAAGGAAGAATGTGGCAAGGGCAGCAAAAAGTGCAGTTTAAGAATAAAACGTTTTAAAATAACGAGTTAGAGAGCTAAGAGGAAACATATACTGGGAGTGTAGCTCAAAAGTGGGAACTTCCCTTCTCCCCTCCTTCCATGCCTCCTAGGTATTTGGCCAACTTATAAGAGGCACATTCCTGAAATTGCAAACGGAGTTTGTTAGCACATGAATTGTGTGTGCTCAGTACAGTTTTTTTTTAATTGTGTCTCATTCTGCATAGAAGGGTCATGCATAGGCTGAAATATCCAGAATAATGGGATACAGGGGACCGTTTGGTAGAAAGAAGGGGGAAGACGTTGAACACTTCTGGAGACCCCACATTGCGTAACAACAGCGGTTTAGAGCGAGACCCCTCCTCCCTCGGTATCTTAAAAGATGCTGCTAGGAATCCATGCCAGACCTTCCCTAGCGTTTCTCCCAGCCCCCAACTCCTTTCTGCACACACATGACCCCTCTGCAGCCTCTTACTAAAATACCAACAAGCCCCTCTGCACCAACTTGACCTTCCCTTTATTGCCTTTGCGCATACCAGCTCCGTCTGCATACCTCTCCTCCATTCTGCAGGTACCAGATCTCCCTGCAACCTCCTCTCTGCACCCACCAGACCGTCCGCATCCCTTTACCAGAACCCAGCAGTTCCCTCTTTGCACCTACCAGCCTCCCCCGCCCTTTACCTCCTCTCCGCATACTGGGTCCCCACTACAGCTCCTTGCACACGTTTCCCATGCAGCTCCTTCTTTTCTCTTACCCGATTCCCCCTGCAGTCCCCGCTCTCTATACATCGGACCCCTCTGCACAGACTAGATCCCCGCGGCTCCCTCTCTGCACACCACAGATCCTCTTGCAACCCCTTCTCTGCATACACCAGAGTCCTCTGCAGCCTCCTCTCTGCACACACGAGATCTCCCCGAGAGCCCCTTTGCACATACCAGATCACCCCGCACCTTCTGGATCTGCAGGAATTAGACACTCCTGGCAGTTCTCTGCACCCCGCAGATTCCTCGCCGTTCCCTCCTGTACTTCCCACCCCACAAACACGAGCCCTTTCTCTTCTGCCGTTACCGACTGCGCTTCCCTGCGCCTCACAGCTTTGTCCCTTGACTCAGAAGCTGTTGGAGATGTGGTCCTGAGGCGGAGGTGACAGCTGCGCCTTTCTGCTCCTCAGTGATACGGGGCTGGGGGCTGGTGTGAAGATCATGGTGGGGTGCACCGTGCACCATAACATTATGTAACTGCACTAAATCCGCGGCGGTAATTGGCACGGCGAGGGGAGGCTGTAAACCGATCCGGCCGGGGTCCTCCTCCAGACAGGAGCTCTCCCCAGCCCCCTGCAGAGGGGGAGGATTTTTGTGACACAACTGCCGAGGCACCAGATGCCGAGCAGCCCTGTTTCCTACTCATCAAAGTCTGTGGAAAGTCAGACCCTGGGGGGCACCTGAAAACAGCCCCAGCTGGGTATGTTTTGTGGGATTGTGGAAAGCGACCTTCCTTTTACTGCTGGGCCTCAACTTCAGAACATACAGACCCAGCATCCCCCACGCCAGGTGCTCTGCGCTCTCCCAGGTGGAGGTGGAGGCTTGGCAGGTTAGTTCTTAGCCTTTTATGGAATCCCCCAGGTCAGGGTGCTCTCCTTGGCGTGCTATAAAACCCATTAACATTGCAGAAGACAGTTCTCCTGTCCTGATGAGCAGCCTGAAAATGAATCACCGGGCAGCAGCAGCGAAGACTGATCTGTACTTTTGGCAGCTCCATGCAGCAGCATGTGAACAGGCAGAGCAGCCCTCCAACTGCTTCGGGCGGCTGCCTTCGAGCATTCAGTCCCTCTCCCTCCCCCACTGCAAAAATCTTCTCCCCTCTGCAAGGTGGCCTCAAGATCCCATCTGCTACCAAGAGATAATTTAAAGGTATCGATTTCAGAATTAATTTAGAATCTAAAGATTTTATAGTAAGGCTATCGGAGGAATTAGGGGCATCCGGATATGCAATGTTTTTTTAATTAAGAGGAAACCTTTTCGATAACAGTATAACATTTTTTGAGGGGGCCAGTTTACAAAGATGGACCCAATTTTAATTACAAATGAAACATGATTATTTTCAGGCTTGTGACATGGCCAGTTAGTGAAATATTGAATCCATGTATGATTGCTATGCTATTGCAAAGATGTTCATGCAGCAGATATATTAAAAGATAGAGGCCTTTTCCTAATGATTTCAGGAGCCACAATGGTAAAATTTTATAGCACACATTTTTGCGGATCTGAACTCTGCTCTTGTCGTATTAAATTGCTGAGCTAGAAGGATCATCAGTAGCCATTTATACATAAGACTAAGTAGTAAAAGCAATGGCTTTATTAGGCAGAATATGGTACACAACAAAATCTAGACAAACCAGAGCAACAGAAAGGTGTGAAAACAACCTTGATCTTCGTAAAATTTATTCTCGCCAGTCCCCTCAAAATATATTGTTTACACAGCAGTTTGTTTCTATGGCAAGCTCTCAGATATATACTGATATTCATACTATGGCTTCTTTGACAGTATGTGTTTGATATTTTAGCAATATTAGTTCAATTGAAAAGCCTTCTGTATTATCCATTTTAAGTTTGGGGACTGAGAGTAATTTTAATTCATACTTTTATTACTTTTCTCCTTCCATTCCCAACTCTCCCAATAAATAAATAAATTCATAAAGTAGTCTGAGTTGCTGTCACTATCAAGAAAAAAATTAAAAATGTCTTCAATCTTCATTATGCAATACTCACCTTTTAAAAAAGGCGTGCTCCTGCTCCCATTGAATTCAATGGGAGTGCTGTTATAGACTTCACTAGGAGCAGGGCTGTGAATATAATTGTTCTTTTGAATGGTCTGATCTTTTAAACATATACCGATATATGCCATGACATATAATTACACCTTTCATTTTTTACCTTTGTTTTTTAGAAGTAGTCTGTGTATGTGAGTGTCTGGGGGGAAGGGAGTATTGAGGTAAACCAAATAGATTTTGGCTGCTTGGATTTTGTTTGTGCAGATGTAAGTCAGTATACATAGATCCCACATATGCTTCAAAAATATATTTAATGAATGGAATAGCTAATCATAGAATAAACATCAAAATGTCTTCACACTTTACTAGTACGTTGCTTATCAATCTATTAAGATGTTCTCTAGTTTGATAAGCAGATTCAAAGCCTGAGACTGTGGTAATTTGTCATGGTACTTAGCCTTTTCAGTTGTTAGTTTGTCACAGTGTTACATAACCGTAGTACTCTAAAAGCAAATGTCAGAAATGTTTTCATTCCCTCTCCCCACCCCCAATCTATTTGTGTAACTCTACCAAGAAAAAAAAGGCACAATTTGACAGCTTACTGTTTATATAATACAAACAAAGTCAAATCTTGCCCTGGCCAGAACTGCAAGGCAAGTTGCCTAGGTGGATGGGTATA